AAGCAATGGTATTCCCAGTAGTCGTGTATGGCTGCGAGAGTTGGACTATAAGAAGGGCCGAGTGCCGAAGAATAGATTCTTTTGAACTATGGTGCTGGAGAAGACTCTTGAGAATCCCTTGGACTGCAAGAAGATCAAATCAGTCAATCCTAAAAGAAATCAACCCTGACTGTTCCCTGGAAGGCCAGATAATGAAACTGAAGCTCAAATACTTTGGCCACCAAATGAGAAGGGAGCACTCACTGGAGAAGACCCTGATGCTGGAAAAGATTGAAGGTCAAAGAAGAAGGGGACGGCAAAGGATGAGATGGTTAGACAGTGTCATCGATGCAACGAACATGAAATTGAGCAAGCTTCAGAGGACGGCGGAAGACAGGAGGGCCTGGTGGGAGCTGGTCCATGGGGTCGCGAAGAGTCGGACTCGACTGTGCGACTGAACAACAAAAAATTCTGTTCTATTTGTTGTTGTGTGCCAATTTTGCTGTTAAAAAGAAAGTCGCTTAGCCTATAAATAACTTTAGCCCTAAATCCGGACATAAAGTGTTTGTCTGTACCTGGAATAAACCAAGATTGCCCAAATATAGAAGTTATTGGAGATATTCCAGGAGCCAAGATTTGTCTATATTTGTACCAAAGCTGTAAAGTATGTCTTAAAAAACGGTTGGATAATTTTAATAACGATTGTAGATTTGATGTAGTCTCCTCATTGAGACGGTTAGGTAAGCCTTCTAACTGTTCAATGTATAGCCATGGTTTGGTACAAGTATAAAGGGAATAATAATGAATATTTCTTAATTGTGAAGCTAGGTAGTATTTTTCCAAATCAGGTAGTCCTATGCTCCGTAAATTAGAAGGTTTAGTTAATGTATTATAGTTTATCCTAGCCTTTTTCCCATTCCATATGGATTTTATAATTAATTTTTTCCAGAGTAAAATATCTTTTGCCGGTATCGGAACAGGTTATGTTTTGAAAAAGATATAAAAATTTAGGAAGTAATATCGATTTAATGAGGTTAACCTTTTCTAACAGATTTAGTTGTAATTTACTCTAATCAATCAGTATAGATTTAATTTGACGGATAAGAGGATTATAGTTGTATGTAAATCAAATAAATTTATTTTATTTATTTATTTATATCTTCTATTTGTATACCGCCCTTTACCCGAGGGTCTCTGGGCAGTTTACAGGTATACGGCCTAAGTGCCTTATTAGTTCCTATCCTAGGGCCACAATTCAACTGGGGGAGGGGTTACCTATCGACACCCAAGCGGTGTGTTCCTGTTGTATTCCACGGGCGGGCTTCCATTGTTTTCTCCTGGTGCCTCAGGACGAGTCGATGACATCCTCCGGCAGGCTCCTGATGGACTCCTCTGGCACGCGGCAGCTCCCGATTGCAGTTCTCGCTTTTGTCCCTTAGGCTCCGCCGCGCTACACTGCCGCGCTGCTGTCACGCCGCCTTAGCTCCACCTCCATCCGGTCTCTGTTGCCGCCACATCCATGGTTCGCCTCTGCTCCGCCATTGCATCACTGCCGACACTCCTGGCACACACTGTCTGGAGGAGGGTGCCCCCTGCCAACCTAGGGCAGGTACCCATTTGTCTACTTGCAGTTAAGCTTTCGAGCCATAAATTTAATGGGATATATATTCCCAAATGTTTCCAATTAGTGTTTACCCAATTGAATGTAAATTTTGATTTCAAATACTCCATGTGCTGAGGAGGTATAGGGAAAATTTCAGATTTTTTGTAATTAACAGTGAAACCCGATACTATGCCAAATTTTTAAAAATGATTCAATAAAATTTTTAATGATTTTTCTGGTTGAGTTAAATAAAATATCACATCTGCATAAAGACTTATTTTGAGATGTTTATTGGATGCAGTAAATAAGAAGCCTGGAGACCGACTGGTGGTGAAAGGCAGAAAGTTTATAGTGCGGTAATGGTAACTATATACAGAGAATATACAGACTGTTACACAGCATACCATACCTCGGTTGGAGAGAGCTATGTCCCCCCTGACTAGCTTATCAAGCCTAGACATTATATACAACTCCCAGCCAATGACTAACAGGGCAAACTAATTACCTACTCTTAACGAGCACAAAGAGTAGCACTTGGTAGTTTAACACCTGGCTGTAACAGTATTAGCCACTTAGTATGACAGCTAAGACTTAGGCACCTAGATCTTCCTGATCTATACACATAGTAACAGCTTGCTACCTCACTACATCTTAGACATATATCCCAATACGCCTCCTAGGTAGTAAGTGTTACACCTAGTCCCCCTCTGAATACATTAAACTGTTCAGAATACATACACTTTGTCAGTACATTAGCAAGGTTACAAGTTGAATCACATTTAACAATTTTCACAAAGCCATCATTAACATGAGATTTAACTGTTTGATCTCTTATCAAGATGTGCTTGCTCCTAGCTCTCGCTCCACAGTCTTCTGCCAAGCTCAGGGCAGCAGAGTTGTCACAGGACACCTGAATTGGAAGATACAGTTTACTTTCAAATCTATTAACAGTTGATACATCCACTCAAGCTAAATTATGGTATCATGCAATGCAGCATATTCCGCTTCACACGAACTCGTGGCTATAAGAGACTGTTTCAATGACTTAAACATCACCACGGCATTATCTAGCATAATTACCATCCCTGTTCTTGACTTTGCTCCTAGACGATCTGCCCAGCTTGAATCACAATATGCATGCAGATTCATTTTCCCTGACACTTTCAGATCCAGACTGTAGTCTATAGTACCCTTGAGATACCTGAGCACCCTTTTTGCTGCTGACCAATCCCTCTGGTAAGGGCATTGCATTTTCTGACAAGGTAAGTGAACTGAGTAACAAATATCTGGTATAGTCCACGTGGCTAACAAATATCTGGTCTAGTCCACGATCCCACTAGGGACTGATACCTTGTTACATCATTCCAGAACACATCATCAGGCTCCTTGAGATAGCCAACATTCATTGGAGTAGAAACCACCTTGGCATCCCTCATTTCTTATTCAGATAACAATTTCACAATTTTATCCTTTTGGCTCAGTTTGTAACATCCATCAGAGTCTCTTGTCACATTTACACCCAAGTAGTTCTTAATGGGACCAAGATATTTAATCTTACAGAAGCTTTGAGCTACACTCTCAAACCACTTCAGTTGCGACTCAGTATTGTGTATAACCAGGATGTCATCAACAAAGATAAGAATTGTTACAACAGATGTCAATACCTCCCTTGTGAATATACAAGGATCAGCCACACTCTGTTTAAACCCATATCATTTCAATGCAGAAGATATGTATAGAAACCATTGCCTGCCAGATTGTTTTAACCCATACAAAGCTTTTTTAAGCTTGAGCACTAATCCCTTATCAGCACATTCAAAGCCTGGTATTTGCTTCATGTATATGGTTTCCTCTAGTGTAGCATGAAGATAAGCAGTGTTAACATCATAGTGCTCCTACCTGACATAAGGCCACCTTAAATTATTCACTTTTTATTGTAGGGCTGAACACGGAATCATAATCCAAACTGTGAACCTGAGAAAATCCTTGAGCAATTAGACGAGCTTTGTGTTGCAGTGACCCATCTTGCAGGGTTTTCAACTTAAACAACCACCTGCAGCCAATTACATTCTTGTCAGAAGGTTCTTTACACAGGTAAACACATCGTTTGCAACCAAAGCATCAAACTCATTTTGCATTGCATTTAACCAGGGCTTTCTCTCCTCCTCCGGCAAAGATAAAACCTCTTTGTATGAGCAGGGCTCATTAACATTGACATTATTTATCACCGTCTGAGTAAACCCATAACGCTCGGGAGGAATACCTTTAGTCGAGAGGCTTGACACTCGCACAGGCTGCGAATCCCTCTGAGAGTCTGCCTGAGACGCTTGTCTCTGAGGGGAGACAGTTTCGCTTTTCACCTCCGGCTCAAAGCCTGTGTTAACTGTGTCAGTGCCTGTTTCAGTCAAGGGTAGCATTGCTTGAGGTGACTCCTCATACCCATGCAATCTCTGCCAGTTGCCATGTTCACAAACACTTGCTGACCTACTAAAACACATTTTATTATGCTCATCACAGAACCTGTATGACTTCATATTTGGCTGGTAGCCCAAAAATGTTAGTTTCTTGGTCCTGGCACTCCCTTTCCTCCTTAGCTTCCGAGGAATGTGCACCCAAGCTTTCATACCAAAGATTCTGAGGAAATTTAGGCTTGGATCTCTGTTATACAGAACTCTGTAGGGTATGTCATCAATGGCCCTTGTCCACAACCTGTTGGATAAGTAACATGCAGCACACATTGCTTCTGCCCAAAAACTTGATTTTAGCCCAGCATCAGCCAACATGGCATACATCATGGTTTGCAGAGTAGAGTTCTTGCGCTCTGCTAGACCATGTTCACTAGGTGACGCTGTGTTAGTAACTCTCTTCACCACACCATTGAGTTTCAACCAGTGATCAAATTGGTCTGACATAAACTCCCCACCTTGATCAACCTGTATAGCCCTTAGTGGGGTTGCCAACTGTTTCTGAATACGTTTGGCCCAACCTTTAAACATGGAAAACGTTTCAGACTTGTGTTTCATTGGAAACACCCAAGAGAATCTGCTTTTGTCGTCCATCAAAACTAAACAAAATTTGTTATGAGAACAACTCTTGGGGTATGGCCCCACCAGATCCATATGCACCAAGTCTAGACAATGTTTAGACACACGACTGCTCACCTTTGCAGCAGGGCATGCATGTGTCTTTACCTGCTTGCATACAGAACAGTCTAGAAATGCTGAGTAATACTTTTTCCTTAGGTAAAAGTGTTAGTGTCTTACGTAGGCGTTCAAAAGAAGGATGATCCAATCTCCTGTGAAGGAGATGTATGCACCTGTCATGTTTGCACTTGTTTGTGACTACCTCAGCCTGCAAGGAAGAGTTATTTACAACATAAACATTATCTTGCA